TGCTGTAACGGGTGCTGGGGAAACTGGGCAAAAATGGCTCTTCCTCAAGAAGTGGGACTAAGCGTGGGAGTGGCTTGGGAGGCATCTCTCCCATGAAAACCCAACATGTGGGGCTTTATTTTTAGGCGGAGGATGTGGAGGGAGAACAGATGTTCTTGGTGACTTATTTTTAAAATAAAAACACTGCTGGAGCTACAAAATTAGCTCAAGAAAAGCCACCGGTTGCCCTGAAAGATGCTCGAATGGAAAACTTCCTGACATCTCCATTCCCAAAGCGGGTGGAATAAAGGTGCGACGATGGCTTTCGCTCTTGGAAAGCCACGTCAGTGGAAAAAAAAACCTGTGTTTGGTGATGAGGGGTGTCTCAGGCATTTGATCTCTGTCCTCCGCCAAGGCCCTGCCGTGCGCCGCGTGGCTTTGCAGAGTGGCACCCCCGGAATAACTGAAGTCGCTCAGAAATACCAGGGTCCATCAAAGGAGGCGTGGGGCGAGCGGCGGCCATGTGAGGAAGACAAATGGCTGCGGTGGAGGGGGGCTGGTGGTGACGGGGGCTGGGGGTGGGGGAGAGGGCTGTGTGTGGATGCTGGCAAAAAAGAAAGGGTGTAAATTGATCTTGGAAAATCCTCACGGAGGGATTTTGGTGAAGCACGTCTGCACGGGCATCCGGCCTTCATGCTGGGACAGATGCGAGGCTTCAGTTATCGGCGTGGAGCGGCGGCTCCTCTGCCTCCCCATCTCTGTAGGGGAAAAAAAAACCCAACCAACTCTTATCTCTGGTTCAAGCTCTGCCCTCCTGCTCGGAGGCTGGTGCAGATTTCCGCTGGCTTTCAACCGAAAACAGCTTCGTCCTGGCCCCGCAGCTGCGGCGCTTGCTCCACTGCGCTCTTCTGATCTGCCTCGTGTCCTGAAGCCGCTCCGGGTTGGAGCCGGGAGGCTGAGTTGCCTGCAGCCAACAGGCAAACCTTACTCTGGAGGGATCCAGATATGATGCTGCCTTCCCTGCTCGTCCTTTTCCTGGGGCTCGATCCTGCCGCGTCCCCGAGCAGCTCTGCTCCCTGTCGGTGGTGCGGGGAGAGCCGCTGGGAAGGGGGAAGAGAGGGACAGTCCAGTGGCAGGGAAAACCAGCCGGGTTTTTGGAAATAAAAGGGTGGGGAGAGGCCGTAGGGAGTGTAGTGGGGCAGGGAGCGGGGAGAGCCAGCACTGTCCCTGCCGCTCTCGCTGCCCTTTTGTCTGCGTTTGCCTCCTTCAGCCATCCAGGCTCTGCTCTCTTGTGAAGCTGCTCATTCCTCTCCTAAAAAGGACAGTTAAATACCACCCAAAGGACAGCTAAGACTCCTAAAGCTCCTGTCAAAACAGCAGCACAGCCATGCAAAAACCAATCCAGCTGAAGGATCCAACGTCTCTCTCTTTCCTCTGGCTCGGCTGCTCTGTTTGCATTTCTCCCCCTCACCTCTAATTTGGGCTTGGAAGGACTCATCCTGCTCCCAGCTGGTGGCCATGGGGCTCAGCCCAGGGACCCCCCTGACCCTGCTCTGGCCGTTCCCCCCAGCTGGGTGCCATGGCCGTGCTGCTGGGGCTGCTGCTGGTCCTGCTGGGCTGCACCGCAGCGCTGGATCCTGCCCTGGAGGAGGCTTGGGAAGGGTGGAAGGTTTTCCATGCCAAGGAGTACCCAGTGGTAGGTCCTGCTCCCCCCAGGCCTCTGGGCACGTGCTGGGGCCGCTCCAGGGGGCTCTCACCCAGAGCCCCCCACCTGCACCCACCCCATCCCCTGTCCCTGTGCTCCCGGGGGACGTTTCTGATCCCACCGCCGCTCTGTCCGGTGGCAGGAGGCCGAGGCCGCCCGCAGGGAGGTCTGGGAGAAGAATCTGCAAGCGCATCCACAGCACAACCTGGAGGAGTCGCAGGGGCAGCACGCCTTCCGCCTGGCCATGAACCACTACGGGGACCTGGTACCTGCCGATGCGCCCGGCACCTTCCCCGGGGACCCCTTGATGCACCCCAGGCTTGATCTGGGGATAGGGGACCCCTCAGTGCACCCCAGGCTTGATCTGGGGATCAGGAATCCCCAACCTGCTCGGCGGGGAGCTGTAGCCCCCGGGGCTGGGCTGCTTGCCAGGGGTTGACCGGCTGGGGGGGAGCCGTGGTGCTGCCAGCCAGGCACTCATGGCATCACATGAGTTTTCCCTTGGCCACCTGCAGACGGATGAGGAGTTTAATCAGCTCCTGAATGGCTTCACCCCGGTGCCCCAGGAGGAGCCGGCGCCGCCCTTCCAGGCCTTGGTGGCCATGAAGACCCCGGAGGAGGTGGACTGGCGAGCAAAGGGCTATGTGACACCCGTGAAGAACCAGGTGGGTATGGGTTGGGGGTCCAGCCAGGGCTGTGTGATGGGTGTCGTGAGTCTGGGCAGCAGAAACAAGCAGCAGCATCCTCCCAAGCACCAAAAAACCTCTGGGCAACCCAGAGAATCAGCTCCCGCAGTTTTGGCCACTGCATTTTTGCAGCTGGAGAGCAGCACCGGTGACAGCATCTGGCAGGTTTTGGGGCAATGCTGTGACCCTCCTGCTGTCTCCATGTCACCCCAGGGGCACTGCGGGTCATGCTGGGCGTTCAGTGCCACGGGGGCTTTGGAGGGGCTCGTCTTCAACCGGACAGGGAAGCTGGCAGTGCTGAGCGAGCAGAACCTCATCGACTGCTCCCGAAAGCTGGGCAACAACGGCTGCCACGGTGGCTACATGACCCGCGCCTTCCAGTACGTGCACGACAACGGTGGCTTGAACTCGGAGCAAGTCTACCCCTACATGGCCACAGTAAGAGACGCCGGGTGGCCTTGGGGACACGGCAGAGCAGTGCCTGCAGGTCCCAGCCCTGGCATCGCTGTATC